TTTAAATATAACTAATAATACTTTTTTTTATAATTTTTATAAAGATAGTAGCTTATAAAACTAGTTTTTAAGTTTTTAAGTTCTAAATATTATAAAATATATTTTTATTTTTTTTAAACATTATTCAATATTATTAATAATCTTTTTTAATTTAAAATAAATAATAGTTTCTAAGTATATATATAAGCTTTAAAAAATTATCTTTTACTACTAATTTTAAAAAATAGAAATTTTATTTAGAAAAAATAAATATAAAATAATTTTTTAATGTTTTATAATATATATAATCTTAAGATTTAAAAACAATAAAAAAAGTTGGCTTAAAAAACTTATTTTAATTTAAAAATTATTATAGTTTATAAAAATCTAAAAAATAAAAAAAAAGATTTAATACTATTTTTTAAAAAGAGACTAAATAATTATAGTTAACCTATAATTTTAAAACTACTTCATAGATAATAGATATAAAAAAATAAAAATAAAAAATGTTTACAAAAATGATATTATTTTAATTATAAATATATTTTTATATAGATATAATTTATTATATTTTGATATACTGCTGCAGATATCTATAATATTTTTTAAATCTAGCTATTTTATAAATAAAATATTAGATCTAAAGGTTAAAAATATAAAAAGTATTCTTTTTTAAATAAAGCTTAATTAATCAAATAGATTAAAGTATAAAAAAGCTTTAAAAAATCTTTTATAAAAATCTATAAAAATTTAATATTTTAATATCTAATTCTTAATTAAATAGTTTCTGGTAAGTATAATTACCGATAAAAATTATATAAATAGAATAATATAAGTTTAATTTAAAAATTTAATTTATAAAATATAACTTAGTTTTTATAAATAAAAAAATAGATTAATAAACTATCTAAACAAAAATTAAAAAAATAAAAAGTAAACTTAAAATTATATAATTATTTTTAATAGTCTAATTAAAAATAAATATATAGTTTTAATAATATAGTATATTATACCTAAAATATATAATTTAAATAAAATTATAATTATAGTTTTTTCTATATTTTATACTATAATAGTAATTAATTTTTAAAAAACTAAATTCTATTAAAACTACTAGGACTTTCTTATTATTTTATAAAAATATAAATAATAAGAATATTAGTTCTTTTTTAGATTATTTTTATTTTATTTAAAAGATTTTTTTTATAAATTTTTTAATCATAATTTAGATAGCTAGATTAATAACTATTTAATCTAAATATATTTTAACTGTACTAAGACCGAAAAAGATATAGGAGATAAATCTTAGTATTAAAAATAGTTAAAATAATTAATTATTCGATTTTTAGTTATATTGTAGTTAGATATAAAATTTTTTTAATCTGACTATAATCTAGCGGTTAGATATAAAAATTCTAATTAACCTGACCTGACCTGGCCGTTAGCCATTCTAAATATAAATAATAAATAAAGATAATTACTACTGCACTTGTGGCTGTACTTATAGAGGCTGCCGCCCACCGTAGCGGCGGCTACATCTAGTATAATCTAGATAATATTAGAAGGTAATATTAATAGAATTATTATAATTAAATATTTATACTTTAGTCTATAATATATTAATAATATTTTTTATTTTGTTTCTTAAGTTTTAATTTTTATATTTTATTTATTTTCTTTATTTTTTATTTATATTTTTTATCTAATTATTTTATAGTTATATTAAAAGCTTTATTTTTAGTTAATAAACTATAGATCTTTTTAAATATAGATTACAGCTTTATAAAAAGTTTCGATAATAATATTAGAATAATAATATAATATCTTTTTTTAAGAATATTTTTAGACTATTAATAAAACTAGAAATACTTCTATTAGATATTTATATTTAATATTTTTTTATTTTAACTAAAATAGTTTTAAAAGCTTTTTTTAATAACTAGTTTTATAATTAGTAAATATTTAATATTATAATTAGATTCTTTTTATAGACTATAAAAAATCTTTTTTAGAGTTTATTTTATTTTATAATTTATATATTAAAACTTACGGTAAAACTGTAAAAAATCTACTAAAATAATTATATATAAAAAAAAATTTAATATATTTGAATTTTTTTATTTAATATATTTTTAGTATAGTAGCTTTAGTTACAGAATTTTTTAAAACTTTTATAATTAATAATAAGATATTTATATGATAAAATAATAATTTTAAGCTAAATAATAGTTCAGATTTATTATAAAATATTATAATATTTTTAGAATAAAATTATATTATTCTAAATATTATATCTAAGATTATATTATTAGTATTTATTATTAAGAATTTTATATTTATATTAATTTATTCTGCTATATATCTTCCTATAACTTTATAAGTCTTAGTATACCGGAACTTAATATTTCTTTTAATAAAATAGCTTTAATATAATTTTTTAAAGTTTATATTATTATATCTATAAAATCTTTTTTATTTATTATAGTAATATTCTAAAACTACTAAGTCTAAAAATAAGAGTAGTCTAATAGATAGAAGAATAAATAATACTAAAAAAATATTATCATATTAAAATTAAAAAAAATAAATAGTCTAAAAAAATAATAAATATTTAAATTAGTTGATTTTAGCTGTCGTTTAGAATTTAGTTTTATAAATAGTTAATAAATTAGTTTTATAAATAATATGATAAATATAATAATTATAGTTAATTTTTATATTAACTATATTTTTAAATTAATATAATATATTCTAAAAACTATTATAAATAGTTTTTTAGTAAGCTTAGTAATAAGCTGTTCTTTATTTATAAGTATTAGTCTAACTATTTTACTAGATTTAATCTAGTATATATATTTTTTTAATATTCTAATTATTTTAATTAATCTTATAGAATATACTATTTCAGCCAGCTTTATAAAGCAGCTATATATGATTAGTATCTTTTTATTTATAAATAGAGAACCGCTACCGCCACACCGGCCAGGCTAGTGCCACACCTTTTTCTGCCACCGCCTTTTGAAAGGAGAAAATATTTTTTTTATTTATATTTATTATATATTTATTATAATATTTACTATCTAATATATTAAAATCATATTATTAATTTATAACTTCTTTTAATAATAAATTTAATATTAATTATTTTAAAGATATTATGAATAAAAACTTTATTAGAATTATAAATTAATTAGATTTATAAGATCTTTATTTTAAAAGTTTTTTAATATTTTAAAATATTTTATATTGTTTAATCTCAAATTTAAAAATTTTTATCATAATTATAAATTAATATTATAATATTATAAACCAAAAACTTAAATTTATTAAAAGAATTTAAAATTAAAATTAAATATAATATATTATTTTTTATTATAATAGTTTATATCTATTATTAAAATAATTTATTTTTAGGTTAATATTAGTCTATTAGTTTTATAGTGTAAATATTTATATTATAATATTACTTATTTTTTTAATATGTCATATTTTTTTAAAATATTATATAAAAGAATTTAATAATTAATTTTAAAATTAATAAAAATAGTTCTAATTATTTCTATTTTCTTTGACTAACATCTTTATTATATTTAATAGTTTCTGATATGATTATTATATTATTAGATTTATTTATTTAAAATATGTTAAATTAACTTTTTAATATAGAAAAGCTTTTTATATTTATTTTTTTATTAATTAATATTAATATTAATATTTTTTATATTATTATTAGCTTTTTAATAATAATAATAATTATTATTAGCTTTTTAATAACAATTATTATTACTATTATTATTTTTTAATAATTATTAATATATTTATTATATCTATTATATCTTTTATATTTTCTATATGTATAATTTTTTTTAATTTTTTTAATTTTTTTAATTATAGATTTTTATTTATATTATATTAGATTTCTAATTATTAAAAATATTATTAAAATATTTTAAAATCTAACATTAGTATTTAAAAATTTATTTTTATTTTTATTAGTATTTTAAAACTTTTTAAACTTATTATTAAATTATTAAATTATTATTAAAATTCAGAATTTTTATAAAAAACTAATTAGTATAAAAAATAAAGAAAAAATTAGATTATTAAATCTTAGTTTTAATAATTATTTTTAGTATATCTTTTTTAAAATAAATTATTAATAATTTAGCAGATAATAATTTTTAATTAAAAGTTAAAATTATTAAATAAAATAAGAAATATAATAATTTTTATATAATGAATAAATAATTTTATTATATATTATTTTTTAATAAATGAAATTATTTTTAAATTACTAAAATAGACCACAGTCTAATATATCTAAAATAAAAATATATAAAAAAAATATATAAGAAATAATATAAAAAATATAATAAAAAAATATATCTAAATATAAGTCTTGGGCTCTTGCTTTGCTTGGGGTGCTGCGCAGGCCCGGACCGTTATATATATTCCTAATCAGAAATATATATATATTATATATATTATTATAGTAGAAATAACCAGCTATATACTAATTAGTTAGTTAATATAAATAAATACCAGCCGCAGGTATTATATAAATATTAAAATATTTATTATTTAACATTTTTTATATTTTATTACTACTATTATTATTTATTTTCTTTTTAAAAAAAAGTTATTTATTTTATAAGTATTTATTTTATACACTGTTAAAACTCTTAAATTAAATTATTTTATTATATTATATATAAAAATTAGTTATTATATATTAGATAAGCCTTGGACTCTTACTCCGCTCAGTGTATGGAAGGATGGGCTGCCTCGCAGACTTTCTCGCAGGACTGTTTGCAGGGCTGTTCACGGGGCCGTTTGCAGGGCCGTTTATAGGACTATTTCTTGCAGGTTTATTCGCAGGACTGTTGGCAGTCTTGCTCGCAGGATTATTCGCAGGACTATTTGTAGGGCTGTTTTTTATAGAACTCTTTGCAGGGCTGTTCGCAGGACTATTTCTTACAGGGCCGTTTGCAGAGCTGTTGGCAGGACTGTTCCTCGCAGGCCTATTTGTAGAGCTGTTGGTAGGGCGGTTCTTTTATAGGCTGTCTTATACTTGCGCGCTCGGCCGTAGGACTGTTGGCAGGGCTGTTGGTAGGACCGTTGGCAGGGCTATTCCTTGCAGGCTTGCTCGCAGGACCGTTGGCAGGGCCGTTGGCAGGACCGGTGGCAGGGCTATTTCTCGCAGGCTTGCTCGCAGGGCCGTTGGCAGGGCTATTCCTCGCAGGCTTGCTCGCAGGACTGTTAGCAGGGCTGTTAATAGGGCCGGTAGCAGGACTATTTTTTATAAACTTACTCACAGGACTATTAGTAAGACTATTTTTTATAAACTATCTCGCACTTGCGTACTCGGCTGTAAAACTGTTAGCAGAACTATTAGCAGAACTGTTAGTAAGATTATTTTTTATAAACTTACTTATAAAACTCTTAGTAGAACTATTAATAGAACTATTTTTTATAGATTTATTTACAAAGCTGTTAATAAAGCTGTTTATAAAACTATTTATAAAGCTGTTTATAGAATAATTTATAGAACTATTTATAAAATAATTTATAAAGTAGTTTATAGAATAATTTATAAAATCATTTAAAAAATAGTTTATGTATAAATAAAATATTAAAAATTACATACTTTAGAATTAAAGTATAAAGATTTTAATAGAATAAAACTGCTAAGTCAGCCGGGTAAAAGTAGAGTAAAATGTTTATATAGAAAAATATTAAAATATAACTTTAAAAAATTATTAAAAATTGAATTTTATATATTAAAAGCTAGAAATAGTATCAATCTGTAGCTCAAAATCTGATTTATTTATAGAACTTTAAAATTTTAAAAGATATAAAGAATTCGGGCTATAAAATTAATAAATATAATTTTGCTTTTTTTTATTCATATCTAGTTTTTTTAGAAAGATGGGGCTATAGAAATTATATATTTAGAAAGATAGAATTCTTTTGCATGTAATAAATCTATTCTTAGAAAACTATATTGAGAATTGACTGAGAAATCGAATTTCTAATTAAATTATAACATTTTCGTATATAATAGTAGAGATTAATATTATATAGCTGTTTAATACTATTTAATTATATAAATAATAACTAGCCAGATATTACTGCTATAAAAAGTAATATATATTTTTATTATAATTTTAAGCTAATTTAAATTATAATATTAAAAAGATAATAAATAATTAATAATTTAAATATATAAATATATATAGAATATAACTTACAGCTGCAGCTGCTTTTTTAAATTTATATTTTTTATAAATAATAATATTTTTGTTAATAATATTAGAATTATTACTATTACTACTGTATATACTGTTAAGATTAATAAATTAAACTTAGTATAGTTATATTAAAATAAATAGTTAATATAGTTTATAATAGTTTTTAATATTTTTTAATTTTTTTATTATATAGTTTTAGACTCCGGCTGCTAATTATAATCTAATTAGATATATAATTTTTAGATTAATAACTAAACTTACTATTAATTATAATATAATTTATAAATTTATAGTCTGCTAATATAAATAAAACTTTTCGTTTATTTTTAATTATTTATTAAATTAGAAGTTTAAATAGATTAATAATATTATTATTATAGCTATAGCAGCTGCTATTACTACTATTATTATTATTAATAATAATAATAAGAATAAGAATAATAATAATAATAATAATAATAATAATAATAATAATAATAATAATAATAATAATAATAATAATAATAATAATAATAATAATAATAATAATAATAATAATAATAATAATAATAATAATAATAATAAAAAAAGATTTTTATAGTTTATAAATTTTTTTTGAAAATTTATTAATCTAGTTTTTTATTAGTTGTTATATTATTATTTTTTTTATTTATAGTTTATTTTTTTGTTTAAAAAATAGTTTCATAGTTTAAGATTATTATTAATAATTAGAATATTATAATAATTATTTTTTAGATTATAAAAACTATTATTAATATTATTATAGCTGTTATTGAAATCTAGACTAATATTATTTATTATCTTATAATTATATTTTATATTATTATCGGCTAGAAAAAAAGAAGAAAAAAAAAATAAAAACTAAAAAATAAAAAATAAAAAAAATAAAAATAAAAATATAAATAAAAATAAATTTATAATTTAAAAGCCAGATTTTTAAACTATTATATTTTTAAATAGACTATATATCTAGATTAGTTATTTATATAATTAATTAAATTTTTTATTTTTTAGCTAATTAGTATATAAATATTTTAATAAATAAATTATTTAAATAATGTTTAATATAATATATTTATAAATAGATTAGTCGGCAGATTTACCGAATATTTTAATAGCTAATAATATATTTAATTATAAAATTATTAAAAAGATTTTTTATATATAATATTATTAATAATAGTTATATCCATCTGATAAAAAATAATTAGTTTAATAATATTCATTATATAAAAAATATTATATATAATTATTAATAAAAAAATAATAAAAAATAAAAATTTATAATTATAGTTTATAAAAACCAGTTTTAAATATAATTAATTATTACCGCGAAGTAAGAATAGATTAGAAACTATTTATAAATAAAAATAAAAAAAAGTTTATTTTTATTTAAATATTAAATTATTTATAAAATTAACTATACTAAACTAGTATAATTATTCATTAATATTTTAATTTTAATAAAATATAATTTTAAAATTTATATTAGTAAATATATTTTATTATATAAACTACTTAATATATACATATCTCTTAAATAAATAATAAATGTATTTAATTTTAGTTATAAAATTAAGAAAAATAGATTAGATAAATTAATTATATATAAAAATTTATATATAAATTTTTTAGTATTATTATTAATATTATTTATTAAAATTTTATTAATTATATAAATATTAGTTGTATAGTCCAGTAGTTTATTTAAATAATAATTATTAAATTTATTTAAGAAAATATTATAAATTATAAGAATTATATATTCGATAAAAAAGCCGCTATTTAAATTTTAATAAGAATAAACTATAAAAATATATATATTTATAGAAATTTTACATAATTTTAATTTAGTATATATTAAAAGATAAGCTGATTTAATTATAGAAACTATAATTCTATAATAGATTAATTAATTAAATAATATATATTTTATCTTTTAATTTCTTTTATAAATAATAGTTTTTATAGAGCTGTAAAATATAAAATAAGTATTATAAAAAAATATTATAAATAGATAATAGTAATATTTAAAAAATATTTTTTTTAAATTATAAATAATATTCATATAAAATTACTATTAAAAAAAATTAGAATACTACTGAATAATTTATTAGAATAATATTCAATAATATTTGATATTTAATAAATAGTTTTAAAAATATAGTAATATTATATAAAGACTTTATTTTAAATAATTAGATTTATATTCTATAACTCAGCCGCAAGATCGGATTATAAACTAATTAAATATATTAATATTTTTATTAATTTAAAAAAATATAAAACTTAGAATAAATTATATAATTATAATACAAGCTTTGGGCCCTTGCTATGCTCGGTATATAGAAGAATGGGCTGCCTCGCAGGCTTTCTCATAGGGCTGTTTGTAGGATTATTTACAGGGCCGTTAGCAGGACTATTAGTAGGGCTGTTGATAGGATTATTAGCAGAGCTATTAATAAAACTATTTTTTATAGATTTATTTATAGAATTATTAATAGAATTATTTTTTATAAACTTATTTATAGAACTATTCATAAAACTATTAGTAGGACTGTTAGTAAAACTACTTTTTATAAACTTATTTATAAAACTATTCACAGGACTATTTTTTATAGATTTATTTATAAAACTATTAATAGAATTATTTTTTTATAAATTATTTTATACTTGCGTGCTTAATTATAAGTCTGTTAATAAAATTAGTAGTAGACTTACTTATAAAACTATTAGTAAAGCTGTTAGTAGAACTATGAATAAGATTATTAGTAAGACTATTAATAGAATTATTAGTAGAATTATTAGTAAGACTATTAATAAGATTATGAATAAAACTATTAGTAGAACTATTAGTAGAGCTATTTTTAATAGATTTATTTCTAAAATTACTGATAGAACTATTTATAGAATTATTTATAGAAATATTTATAAAATTATTTATAGAATTATTTATAGAATTATTTATAGAATTATTTATAGAATTATTTATAAAACTGTTTACAGAACTGTTTATAGAGCTGTTTATAAAATAATTTATAGAGCTGTTTATAAAATGATTTATAGAATAGTTTACAGAATAATTTATAAAATAATTTATATATAAATAAAATCTTAGAAATTAAGTAATATTTTATTTATTCTAATTTATTTTATTTAATAATTATTTATATATTTATTAAATACTGCTGCTATAAATATCCGGCTTGTTATAGTATATTAAACTTATTATTATAAATAAAAATAAAATATATATAAAATATTTAAATTATTAATTAAATATTTTTATAGTTCGGATTATTATTAAAATATAAAATAATATTTCTATAAAATTATAGATTTTAATATTAGCTTAGATTACTATAAAAAAAATATAATATAAAATATAATAAAAAATATATAATAAATTAATATAAATTCGCTACAGCTGTTTTTTAGCAGTATATAAATATAGAAGAATATTTTAAAATATATAATAATTATAATTAATATTTATATTTAGAATAATAGCAGCTATTTTAAATAAAATAAAAAAATTATATTCTAAATAAATTAATATTTTTAAGTATTTTGTCTAATTAATTTTATATATAAAATAAACAATTTATATTATATCAAGTACAGATATTATTACTAAATTTTATATTATAAAATTAAATTTATATAAAGAAAAATAGATAATTATTTTTATATTTTAATAGTTTATATAAGTAGATTAATCTATTTATAATACTAACTAGAATATTATTATTAAAAATATATATATTAATTTAATAATTTATAAATATAAAAACTATTATATTATTATAATAATAAATTTTAAATATAAATTAACAGCTGTCAGAATCTTAACAAGAATATAAATTATAGAAAAAAAAATAAAAATATATAAATTATAAATAAAACTATATTATTTTTTATATAGTATTTTTCATAAATAAAAATAAATTTATAAATAAAATATAGATATATTTATTTATTTAGTATAAAACTATATAAAAAAATAGTATATTTATATAATTAAGATTATATAATTTAACTGGTTGTTAATAAAAATAGTAGATATATAATATATTTTATACTAGACTATATAATTATTTTTAATATTATAAAGATTTTTTATATAAATAAATAGATTTATTTTTTCAGAAAAAAAATGATTAGCAGGGTGTATTATTAATTAATATATAAATAATTAGAAAAATCTTAGAAATAAATAATAAAGTTGATATTTTTCATAATCTATTATATTAATATAGCAGCGCTGGTTTAATAAACTAATTAAAAAGCAGAGATAAAGTTCAATAATAGTAAAATTATAACTATAATAAAATAAAATTGAAAATAATTTAGAAAAATAGAAGAAATAAATATATTTCATAATTAAAATAGGATTTAAAAATATATAAACCCAGATACCGGTTTAAAACAGTAAGTTAAAAATTAAAAAATAAATACTAATAATAATATATTCTATATAAAAAGTTTATTTATAAAAGATTTAATTATATAAAAAAAATAGATTATAAAAGCATCCAACGGCGTAAAAAAATTATAAAAAGAATAAGAAATATTTTATAAAAAAGCTAATTAGAATAAAAATAGAAAAACTAAACTGTAGAATATATAAACAGAAATTTTTAATATAATAAAAATATTATTAAGATATTAATAAGCCGGGTAAAAATAGAATAGAATATTTATATAAAACAAATCTAGATTTAAAAAATTATAAAAAATCAGATAAAGATACTAACAGGCTCTAAATATTATTAATTTATAGTAAAGAATCTAATTTATATATAAAAGTTCAAAATATTTAAAAATATAAAAGTTTAAGACTGTAAGATAAATAATTATAATTTTTATATTTTTTAGTAATAATCTTTTTATTTAGGAAAGTAGGCCTTAAAAATTATATAAATAAAAAAAATAATTTTTTTTATATTAAAGAAATCTATTTCTAAAAAGTTATATTAAGAATTAATAGAGAAATCGAATTTCTAATTAAATTATAACATTTTCATATATAATAGTAGAGATAAATATAAAAAATTTATTTTCTTTTCTTTTTTAGAAGGCGGTGGCAGAAAAAGGTGTGGCACTAGCCTGGCCGGTGTGGCGGTAGCGGATGTGGTGTGGCGGTAGCGGTTGCCTATATATAATATTAAATATAAAATATTCAAAATAATATAAGATATATTTAATAATATTCTTATTAATTAACTGCAGAAAGAATACATAATATTAAAATCAATATATATTATATTTAATATTAATATATATTCTTATTACTAGCTAATTTAGTTCTTTTAATATTTTTTATTAGTTTATAATAATAAAGCTAAAATCTTTATATAGTATATTCTAATATTTAGAGTTTATAAAGATTCTTTTTATATAATAATTAGTTATATCATAATTTATAAAGAATTTATTAATATAAATCTATTAATTAATAGTTATTATTCTACTTTTATAATTTTAATATATTAAATTATCTAAAAACTATACTAATTTATTAAAATATTTTAATTATATAATTTTTTTAAATTTATATACAACGGCTTTAATTTCTATTATGTTGAATATAATAAAAAAAGTTATTTATATATAATAGTAGAATTATTTTTATATAAATATAAATATAAATATCTTATTTTAATAATTTAAATCTAAATATTTAAAATATTTTATTAGTTATTTTAATCTAAGAAAATAATACTTACCGGAAATTATATAATATTTTTTTAAATATCAGATCTTACCGAATAATTTACATAAACTTAGTAATTAATATATATATATAAATTAATTTTAGAATTTGATATTAAAATATATTCTAATAATATTATATTAAATATACTATAGTTATAAAAATATAATAATAATAATTATAAATTCTAAAATAATATTATTTAAAATACAGATATAGTTATTCTTAAAATTAAAACCAGGTTATTAGTAAATTTTATATATTATTTATTATATTTGTAAATATTATCTTTATTTATTATTATTAGCTTTTATAATATATATCTATTTATTTAGAAAAACATATATATTAAATAGTCGGTTAAGAAAATTAAATATATTTTTTTTATTTATTATACTTAGTTTCTATTATCTTTAATTAATTCGGTTATTAAGAAAATATTTTAGTAATATTATAAATTTTTGAAATCAGAATTTTATTAATATATATAAATCTTATATTATATAATTAAAATATTCTTTTAAAACCAGACTATTTATATAGTATACTTTTATTTAAATAAACTAAGATTTATACTAGCTATAATCTATAGTTTTTATAAAAATAATATTTTTATTTAGATTGAGTATTAGTTATTTATATATTTTTTTAAATAATAGATAATATTAGCTGGATATTTTAATTGATCCGAGAATTAAAATCTATAAATATTATATATTATACATTCTTAATAGTTATATTAGCTACTATTTATTTTAGTTTTTAAAATATTTTTAATATTATAATTTAATATAGTTTTAATAAAATATTAATATTATCATTTAATATAGTTTTACCAAAATATTAATATTATATAATTTTATATTTATTATTAATATATATAACAGCTCCGGCTGCAGGTTTTCCGACGGTATAATAATAATATATTTTATAAAACTATAAAACTTATTTTTTTAATATAATTTTAAACTATTTTTTTATATTTTTAGTTATATTTATTATAAGAATCTTATCAGCTATAATAATTCTAAATTTTTATATATTTATTAAAAGTTTTTTAAAAGTTAATACTTAAATTAAATATATATAAATACTATATATAAAAAGTTGATATATTAGTTTTAATATTAGAATATATATATATTGAATTATATAATAAAATCTATAAATTAATATTATTAACTACTACTAGTATATATATCATAATAATAAAATTTAATAAGGTTTTATATATAATAATATCTAATAATAATAGTCTATATTATTAAAATTACTACAGTATATCTATAAATATAATAAAATTATTTATTTTTAAAAAATAAAATAATTTTTATTTATAATATTAAGTTTTATTTTTTTAAAAATATAAAAGTAATAAAAATAATTTTTATGTAAAATCTTAAAACCAGATTTTTATAATATATAATAAAGGTAGAAATAATTCTTATTGAAATAACAATTAGATTTTTTTATTTGAAAAAAATATTTTAATATTTAATATTATTAATAATACTTCTGATTAAACTTCTACTGTTAGAATTTAAGCAATAATGTTTTTATATATAAATTAAACAAAACTTTTTATTATTTTTTATATATATTTTAAAAAACCTTTATAATAGTCTTTCTTATAACTATATATATAAAATATCTCGAAAAATAGAAAAAAATAAAGTCTAGATTTAAACTTATTTATAGATTAAGAACTTAATAAAATTTAATAAAATTATTTACTATTTATATATAATTAGCTATATTAGTATTAGATTATTATTTTCTTTTAATAATTTACATTAAACAGGTTTTTAGTTATCTAATAATAAAAAAAGCTGATAAAAGAATATATAAAAATATTTCTAATACTATTATTATAATTATTGTTATATGTATATTATTTAAAAAGTTTAATACTATTAGAATATATAATTTTTTTAAATTTTTATTTATAAATTTAGAATATATAACTGGAATTTTTTTATAGCTAATAAAATAACTAATCTATATTTATAATATAAATTAATATTTTTTAATATATTAAAAATTATTATAATTAATTAAAATATAGATTCTATAACTATATATATAAAAATATTTAATTAGTATAATATTAGGCTTTATATTAAAATATTTATACTATTTTAAAATTAGTAATAATTTTTTATTTAAAAAAATTAAATAAATAATAATATAAACTATTATTTTAAATATTTCTCGTTATAGATATTCCAGCAGACTAGTATTAATTAATATTATTCTAATTATTAATATAATATATTATATATATTATTTTATATAAAGTCTTTAGTAATAGTAATATAAAACTAATATAAAATATATAATATTTTTAGATTTATATTACTTTCTAAATTTTATAAATTTATAATTATTATTAAAATATTATTTTATAATATATTAGCTAAAAATATTCTTATATTATTTATTAAATATAATTAATATATTACTAATTTTATTTTTAAGATTTTTTAATAAACAGATCTTTATACAGCTAATAAATAGATTAATAAAAACTAAATATTTTTTATTTCTAATTTTTATAGATTTTAAATATTAAATATTATAATTCTAAATATTTTATGAATTCTATTTTTTAATTATTAGTTTTTATAATATTTTCTAGATATTGTTCTAATATAATAAGTCTTATATTTAAATTCTAGTTTACTAAGTATTTTATTTTTAATATTTTTTATTATAATAATTAATTTCGGCTTGTTTATATAGTCTAAATAATAATATAAAAAATATAAATTAATAATAATAAGTTAATAATATTTAAATAATTATTGTTATTATATATTTTAATAATTGATTCGATTGATTTGATTTGATTTATTCATACACGCATATATTAGTTTTAATGGCCGAGTGGCGGCAGATCCCAGTCCCGCGGATGGACAGACCGCAGGGGCGTTAAAATTATATATAAAATAAAGATTCTGGCCAGTTGGCTGCTTTTTAAAAAACTTTCAATCTTTATATAGTTTTTCTGTAAAAGTTCTATATAATTTTCTTTTCTATATAGCAAACTGGTAAAATTAATAGTTTTTAGATATAGTTTATTTTTATATTTATTTTATAATATGTTTTTTTTACCGGCTGCTACTGCGTCTACTAGTTGCTATATAGTTTAGTATTTAAGTTTATTATTAATATTTTTTATTAGCCGGTCCGAAAGTCTCTAAATAGTATAATCTTAATATAATAAATAAAAGCTTACTGTTCGAAGAAAGCTAATTAGCTGCAGTTTTTTTTTAAAAAAAGCAGCCGGTTAGTATATAGACTAGTTGGTAGTTAGTAGTCTATTTATATATTAATAGTAGTTTACACTTTAATAAATATAATATTAAAAATAATATTAGCTAAGTTTTAAAACTAGCTTAGAAGTTTTATATATAATATGAAATCGATTATTTACTTTACTGTTTTTTTTTAAAAAAAGACGCCGAAAGTTAGTAAGTTTTTTTTTAGTTTAGAAAATATTTTAATAAAAAAAGTTATATTTTAAATATTTAATAAAAATATATTTAATTAATTAAGACTTTTATCCGTAGAGATATATAGTTAATTCAGCAGTTTTAATAATTTTTAAATAAGTATTTAAAATAATTTTATTAGTTAATATCTAGATTAATACTAAAATTTATATTTAATAAAGATTTATATATAAACTAAAAATATACTTATCCGCTGTTTTAATAAAAATATAATAAATATAAAAATTATATAAATTATTAGTTTAATTAGCTTTTTATTATTAATTACTTAAATATTAGAAATATTAATATATAGTAAAAATTAGTATAAAAAATATTAGTTAGTCTATAATTTTAGCAGCTGCTGTTTTAGTATATTAGTTTATTAGTTTATTATTTAATATATTTTTATAGTTTAAGAATTATTAGAAATATATTTGTTAGCTGGTTTCTTATATATAGTTAAACTAGTTAATTATTTATTTAATAATTATCTGCTTTAAGTAATACTAGGGTTGAGTATAAATTTATATAGCTGCTTAATTATTAATAAAAACTATTATTAACTTAGGCTTGGAAATAGTTAGAATTAATATTATCTAGAAGATAATATTTTTAATAAATATATTAAGCTTTTTTTTAGTAAAAGCTAGAATAAGTTTTATATTAATTAGTTTTATAGAATATATTAAATAAATATTTTTTAGTTAATTAATATAATTTAATTTTTATTATAAATTATTATTAAAATATTAATACTACCGGAGTAGCTGCTGTTATTAATATATATAAAAAGAATAATAAAGAATGAAAAAATATATTTTTAAAATTTTTTTTTAGAATTAGTAATATCAATAATAAAAGGCTGTTATTATAGTAAAATTAGTATTAGTTTAATAATTTTAATAAATATAAATATATTTAGATTAAGCTTAAAATCCCTGACTAATTAATATTTAAAATAATTTAATAGTAATATAATTAGATTAGTCATCGGATTATTAAAATAATATCTACCGGAGTGGGTTTATTAGATTAAAAATAAAACTTAATAATAAAATAATAATATTATAATCTAAAATAGATATTTTTAGTAGCTTATTTAATTAGAATTTATAGTAGTAGAATATTAAGATATATTTTAAAAATAATTTATATAATAATATAAAAAATCTTTATTATTTAATATAGAATTTTATATTAGATATTTTTAAAATATTTTATAATATTAATAATAGTTTTCTAGTAGTCTTAGATTGTCACGGGCTAAAGCACGAATACTCAATTTATAATAATTCTGTTAATTAATTCTCTTTTTTATTATCTAGGTTTTACTATATAAATAGCCGCCGCTGTACGGTGGGCGGCAGTAATCATAAGTACAGCTGTAGTATATAATAATAGATACCGGCTTAAGAAAACTATAGTTATCTAACTATATTAAACTAACTGCTAAAAGAATATAGAGAATATAAAGAAATCTATAAAAATAACCGAAAAGCATAAAACCAGAAGTATAAACCGGGATTAATAAAACTAAAAAAATAAATATAAAAATATAAATATAATAAGATTATAATTTTATTTATTATTTTTTTCTTTTTATTAATATTCTTTTTATTAAAATTCTTATTAAAATTCTTTTTATTAATATTTTTTTTATCTTCTTCGATCTTACTATTACTATCTAAATTTATATAAATTTAATCAGATATTTAAATCTCTAGTATTACTATTGCGGTATATAAAAGTAGATTAAATAAAATTTTATTAAATATTAGATTTTTTATTATATTTAGAATTATACTAATAAACTATTATAAAAATTTAAATTTTATAAAAGCTTATTAAAATATATTCTATTTTTACTATTTATATAATATTATCCAGCAAGAATATATTATTTTATATATATATTTTTTTTAAAAAAAATATTTATATTTAATAACTATATTTACTACTATAGCTATCTAATTAATATTACTAAAAAAACTATTATAATATTAGATCTTATTAATATTAATATATATTTTATTAGTATAAATAAAATAATATACTTTATAAAAAATAAAAAAATTTAATATTATATAAAAATATATCTTATTTCTAAAATATAATAGAATAATATTAATACTAAAATAAAATAAGATTTTATTAGTAATAATTTTAATACATTCAATTAGAAGCTTGATTATTTTTCTATAGTTTTATTTAGATTTAACCAATATTAAGAACAGAATAAAAAATATATTATTATTTATTATAAAATAATAAAAAAGTTTAAAAAAAAGATTTAACTAGAATTTAAAATATTATTATAAAAATTATAAATATATCTATTTTATTTATAAGCCGGTTTTCTACTGGATAATATTAAAAATATAATATTCTAAAAATTATTATAGATTTAATTAGTTTTAATAGTCTTTTTATACTTTTTTTAAAATAGTAATATTACTTAAAACTATCTTAGCTTAGAATTTTTTAAGCTTTTTATTTATTATATACTAGATTCTGATTCTTTTAGCAAAAAGTTGGTTTTTTGTATATTTTTTTAAAATATTAAACTTTTATTATTTTTTTATAGTTTCTATTTTTTTTATAAATTTATTTTTTAATTTATCTAAATCGGTCTATACTTAGATATTTAGTATAATAAATATACTTCTAATATTATTAAGTATTAGTCTAACTATTATATTTATTATAAATCTATTTATATTTATATTAATTATACTATCTAAAAATATACTATAATTATAATAATTAATCTAGTTTTTATATAGACAGCTGGGGCGTCGAGCTTTTAATTCTGCAGAATAATTATATTTATAAAGAATAGAAAAAGAACTACTTATAATAAAATCTTTTAAATAAATAAAATAAAATAAAAAAGTAAATAATAGAATTAGAGAAATAATAGAAAATATACTAAGAAAGTAGATAAAAAATAAAAATTAAGATAATAATAAAAAAAAAAGATGAAAAAAATAGAATAAAAATAATAAAATTAAATAAATAGTAAAATAAAATAGTAGTAAAGTTATAGTATAACCAGAGAAAATTAAAAATAAAAATAATAATAAATAAAATAGATAATAGTATTAAATTAGATAAAAATAGACGGAAAAGTAGAAAAATAAATAGTAGATAAATAAAAATTAAAAAGTTTTATATTAAGTATTAGAATAGAAAAATTTACATAAAACTAGATAATAATATATTTAATATATTCTTATTATTTTTATATTTATTTTCCAGTATATTAAATATATATACTTAAAGTTCTTAATAAGCTTTTTAATATTATTCAGCTTATTAATATTATATTATCTATTATATATATTTTTATAGTCTAGAAATTTAATTAAATACTAAATATTAGTTTTTTTTTTATATTTTTTTAATTTTATTATAATATTATTTATATCTTACTAGTATACGCTTAAGTTTATATAATTAGTACTTATTTATATCTTTTTTAATAAAAATAATATTAGACTATTTTTTTACAGCTAAATAAATCTGGTCTAAAATAGGATTCTAAATATATAATTAATATGACCAAATATAAATGATATATTTTTAAAAAATTAAATTAATAGACTAGCTTATCTATATATTATAAAATCTTAAATAATTCTATAAATTATTCTAATAATTTTTTATTATTAAACTTACTAATATTATAGCTATAATATAACTAAAATATAATCTAATTATCTATTTTAAATTTTATAGTCTTATATTTCATATTATAATAGATTTTTATAGTTATAGCAGCTAGTTTTATTATTTTATTAATATTAATATATATCTTAAAACTTTATATTTTTTAATATTTAATAAAACTAAAATTAAAAAACTTAAATATTATATACTTATATATTAGCTTATATAATAAAACCTAAATTAAATTATTTTTTACAATATTTTTAGTTACTTATAGTTATAATAATATTTTATATTATTATTTTAAATTAACTATAAATATTATGATATATTTAAAATATATTTTAATAGTTTAATTATTATATTCTTATTAATTATTAGTTTAAAAATAATATATAATAGTATATATAAGCTTAGTATCTTGTACTTTATATATAATATACTATATATTACTAGTTTATTATAAATCTTAATCTATAATAATTATTTATAACTAGTTTTAGTTTTTTATTATAAAATATTCTATTAATATTTTTTTAGTTTTCTATCTTTTATTTAATTTTATCTAATATTATTATAATATAATATATATATTTGTACATAACTAATATAGTAGTATTAAATAGTTTTAATAATATAATAATTAGAGAAATAAATAATTATAATATAATAATTAAAAAAAGAATAGACTATAATACTTTATAAAACTTATATTATAATATTTAATTACTTTAATAAGTTTAATAATATATAATATATCTAGTTACTATATATTTTATATATAAAAAAATTAGATTATAAAAATTATTTATAATTTATTTAATATCTATGTATTCTTTTTTATTATATAGTAATTATAATATATTCTTAATATATATTTCGGATATATATAACTTGATTTTAGTATTAGAAAAAATAAATTATAAGTAGAGCAGACTATTATTTAGAAAATAAAATAAAATAAAATCTAAATAATTATTAATAATAAGAATTATTATTTTTTTTTACTTAATATTTTTAATATATTTATTCTATATTTTAGAAGTTTATTTTAATAATAATTATATTAGAATTATATCTAAACTTATTATATTAATTTAGATTTAGCTTAAATATACAGTATAATAGTTATCTATAGTAATATATCTATTAAAAAAATTATTAAAAAATATTTAAATATATAAAAATAACCTTAATAAGATATTAAAAATAATATATATTTTATCTACTTTATAAAAAGAATATAAATTTTAAAAGATTTAGATAAATTAGCTAGCTTTAATAAAATATAGATTTAACTGGTTTATATTTATAAATATAAATATAGTCTATATAATAATTCTAATAATAAAAGTATAATTAGTATATATAAATATTTTTTTATTTATTTATAAAACTAACTATAGATAAAAGAAAACCTAGATAATATTAAATATTTCTAATTTTATTAGCTAATAATTATATTTTAATATAGCAAATATTTTACTTATAAATAAGATTAATTAAATTATAGTAGAATTAAAAGATTTTTTTTAGTTTTTAGTTTTTCTTATATTAAAAATATTTTAAATTATTATAAATTATATAAAAAAGTATAATATTATATTTATATTCTTTTAAGAAATCGATATCAAGACTGAGATATCTAGTAGGATTATAATAATAAAATATACTTAGATTTTAAAAATAGATTTAAATTATTTTAAAAATTTTGATTTTTTCTATAATCTTTTTAATAAATATTTTTATCGTATAACTAATACAGGCTTAGCCTGTTTTAATAGATAATTTTATTAAAAAATTATTTTATAGTAGTAAAGTAGTTAAATAATTACTAAATAATATAAAATATAAATTTATTATTAGTTTATTAATTCTAAATAGATTTTAAATTAAATTAATATTATTAAAAATTTAAATTTTATAATAGCTTTAAGCTTATTAACAGCTGTAGTTATCTTAAGTATATTAATCTTATATTCTAATAATTTAACTAATAGAAATCTAATAAAGATTTTACTAAGACTTAATCAGATATATAAATTTTTATATTTTTAGAAGATTAAATATAAATAGGTTATATAATTATTAAAAATATAAAAAAAAGAAATAAATTATTTATATAAGTATATATAAATTTATAGAAAATATAAAACTTATTATCTATATTTTATTATATATATACTAAACTATTAATAAAATCTATTAGATAAATCTTAAAATATTCTTAATTTTTATAAAAAATAATATTTAGTAGATACCAGAAACTTAGATATATTCTTTATTAATAAAAGAAGATAATACAGTTAAAAACTAAGAAATATAAATATTTAGTATATAAATAAAGAATTTCTTTTTATAAAAAACTTATATAAATATTAGAAAAAATAAGTTTATTTTTTTTATAAATATTTATAATTATATATAATCTTTTTATATATAAACTATTTAAAGTCTTAATTAAGTATCAGACTATAAAAATAAAAAATAATATAGATATATACTAGTTAGTAAATATTATTTTATTAATTTTATATAATATATTAAAATATTTATTAATTTTCATCTAATTTTATAGTAATAATTTATAAATTTAATTATAATATTTTATCTAGTTTTTTTAGCCTAGTTTTGGAAAGATTATTAACTATTTATATATAAGCTGATCTACTATAAATATTAGATTATTATTCTAAATTTTTATA